TATATGTATATATGATATATATGAGCATTTATTATTAAAATATAAATTTCAGAAATGAGTATTGATGATGTCAATTTAATTGTACAACAAATTAAAGAAGCAAATAAACTTTGCAAAGAAGATACACAAGTAATGTATTTAATATGTATTTTAATATATAAAAATTTTAATAAATTAATATGTTAATAATCTTAAATCAACATGTTATATTAAGTTAAAATAATTATATAAATTTTTTTATTATAGTATTTAAAAGGATTGAATGTACAATTAAAAAATCCTGTGTTACCACAACATGAAATTGAAACTAGAGCAGGATCTCGTCCTCCAAAAAATGAAGAAATAGAAAGATTTAAACAAATAACATTCATCAAAAAAGGATGTTATGATTCGGTAGAAGATAAAATAATTAGTAATAATTGGAAAGAATTTTGTAAGGTTTGTTCGAAGAATATTATATGTTTGTTTTCAAAAAAATTTATTAAAAAATTTTTTATATAATCAAATTAAAAATATAGTTGCATAAATGGGATTCTAAAAAGGTTGAACCATTTTTACTCTTGAGAGAAGGAAATAAAACATATATTCGCAGTAAAAAACAAAGAAGAAAATTTGTACAATTTTTAGCTGATGGTTTGCCAAATAGAACTTTATATAGTGTATATCACAGATTTAGAAATTTATATACAAATCATTTTCAAAGAAGGTAATTATAGAAAAATTTTTTATATTAAATATTGATACACATTTTTATTTTTATTATATAATATCCTATTTTTATATCATATTTACATTCTATTAAATATTATATAAAAAAGAAATTTATATTTTTTATATCAAAAATAAAAATACTTATAATAAAATAAATTTTTTTTTTGATATTGAATGCTTTTTATTTGATTAAAAATAATATAGTTCAGATTTTACAAAATTTATACATTATATAATATAATGCTTATTTATATATCTTATTTTTATACCTTATTATTATTGTTATGTTAATATAATATTTAATATATAAAGGTTTCATCCAGAAGAAGATAAAATGATTTTGAATTATTTAGAACATAATGCAAACCTTGATCAGAAGCGGAAATATGCAGATTTAGCGAAAGTTTTAAAACGAACCCGAGCTTCTATTTGGCGTCGTTATGAATTGCTTAAAAAGAAAAGGCAAAGAGAATCAGATCAAAAGAAATAAAATCAAATCAAATGAAGAAATAAAATCTTTATAATATTTATTTTAATTTTGTATAATGTTTGTATGTTAATTATTGTTTTAATGTTTATTTTTATTTCATTTCAAAAAATATAATATTATTTTTTTGATTATAATTAAATTAATTTAAATTATGATTGTATTTATTATGTAATAAATAAATAAGAAAGTAATTTTTTATTAATTTTATACTATTATTGAATTTCTTATATAAATAAATAGTAAACAAAATTCATTATATATAAATAAATTCAAAGCATTTATTTAAATGTATATTTGATTCAATATTTATTGAAATAATTAATTTAAAAATTAAAATTTAATATTTTTTATATTAATACAAAATAGATAAAAAAAGTAAAATTTTAAATAATAATAAAAAGAATTTTTTAAATTTCTATTATTTATATGTTTTAATGGCACAATATATTTATATTGCATATTTATTTTTTTTAATATACGATTGTTAAATGTATTTTTTCATATAATGCAATAAATATATATATATATAAATAAAAAAATGTTTTAAGTAATTATATAATATATACATGAATACATATAAAAAAATCTTTAATTTTTTATACAAAATTATAATACTGCCAATATTATAATAAATTTCTTAATTCAATTTAAAAAAAAAAC